AAAGAGCCCGGCCGGGGATGGGCGAGCAAGGCTTTGTGTAGCCACGGGGAGTGGGGAGCGGGTGAAGGAGCAGCCCAGCGTGGTGGTTTTGCTTTTGGTTTAGGCGTGTTAATTACCCGTAGGTGGTAAATTAAATATCATCACTGTAAGTCACAAGAACAAAACTGTTCTGGTAGCAACACCCAGAATCAGAGGTCGCCCCAAACAGGCTTTGGAAAGCTCTGGCGCTTGGGAGCTTGCAGCCTTTGCCTTTCGTAGCTCACAGGTGTTATTAGACTGGCAAGGATTAGTGGAGGTCTCCAGCCTTGGCTTGGGCTGTTTAGATTCCTTGAGCAATTCTGAAGTGAAAAGCAGGTCCCTCAGACCACTGGTTTACATTGTTTAGAAGCTAAAGGTATTTTCATTTTAAGGCTGCAGTTGGAAGAGATTAAGCAAGCTTTGTGTTTGGGTTGAGTCTGGTGATGTTTTCAGAGTGATTATGTGATGGAGGCTTTTGGGGACAATTTGTTGCTGTATCTCTGAAGGTAGGAATTGGGACTGCCTGTTCTGAAATGGATGATTTGGCAAGACACAGTGATCATTCCCCTGTGTGAAAGATGCCCTGCTATCATTTAAGGGCTTCTGTCTTCTCACACTGGGCGTGCTGCCTTAAGTTGAGGTCTCTGACGCTTTGCCTTCCCTTTTGTTACAGTGTCCATTATTCTCTTTGACTCAAGTTACTTGTATTATTTTTTCTTGTTCCCTTCTAGTGCTTGCTAACAGGAGTAAATCAAAGTAAATGGTTGTACAGCAGGTCCTCCAGTGGGTAGACATATATGAGTGAGGTTATGAGTACTTCAGATTTGTGTCATTAACAACAGGCTCCCTGTTATCATACTAAAATGGACTTAGCCTTGTCCCACGGATTACTCTTGTCCCTGCTCCATACTCTTTAATTTTTTATGCTCATTTTCTGGAATGCAATACTTCTTAAAACAAGAATTTAAAACTTTAACTACAATTTTAAGTGTAGTGCACTTGAATGAACCCTGCTTGATTTCTCTGGAGACTTCGTCATCGCTTATTCAAAAAGGCACAAGAGAGGCAACATACAGCTCGAATACGGGATTGAGACTCTTATTCTTGTGTATTACATCCCATTCTGCAAAGAAAGAGTAAAGTAAAGGTGCAAAGAAGAGAAAAAATGGGGAGGATTAGGAAAATTGAGAGAAAACCCTTCTCCACACTCCTTTAAGAGAGTGTGGATGTTGTCTCTGGTGACTTAATAATGGTTTTGTCCTCAGAGCATTTTTGTTGCAGAGGTGTCTTCAGGTGGCAGATGGCTGAAAGAGAGTGGGAAGCTGCTGATGTGGGATTTTCTTGGAAAAAATAATCTAGTATGGAGAAATTATTTCTTTCTTCTTTTAAAAATAATAGATATCAGGAGAGACTGAAAAGAGAATGGAGAAAAAGCTGATGGAATTGATCGAGGGAAGGGAGCTGAGATGGGTGAGATCTGTGTGATTCATGCAGAGATTTTATTTATTTTTACAGTTATTAGGCCATTTTTTGAGATGGACTGTAACAATATTCATACAGTGTTTTAAATAGAGTGAGAAATTTTCATGACAGAAGTTTCCAGATTGCTTCCTCAGTATGTTTTAAGTGGTGTCTTACCTTGTGCTTGCATAGAAGTCAGAGGCATCAACAGTGGGCACCATTTTTGTCAGAGCTGACACTGTAACTGTTCCTGTGAGTGGAGTTCAAAGGTAGCCTTAAGCAAGCTGAGCAGGATGTTCTGAACTTGCCATGGTGTATTGTCGTTCAGTGTAGGTACATTATTAGTCCATATTGCTGTCTGTAGTGTCCTAGTTAGGCTTGTAATTGTACCTGAATTAGTGTAGACATTCTTTATGTGCAGGATTGTGTCCTAAGAATTAGACTGATTCCATGCAAGGAATGCACGACTCCCGACGTGCGATTGACGTACGATGGGTTGTTCTGGTTACCTTAATTCTGGGATAGCTTGTAATACTCAGTCATCTTAGAGTGGTGGCTCTTTTGTGCTTCCCTTTGCAGGAAGGTCTGTCTGTCTGTGTGTGCCCACTCCTCCTTGGGAGATGTCCAGTGTTTCCAGTTACGCCCTTCGAATGGCCCGGCTGAGTGCTCAGATATTCGGAGAAGTTGTCAGGCCGACTGACTCAAAATCTATGAAAGTAGTGAAGCTATTCAGCGAGCAGCCTTTGGCCAAGAGGAAGGAGGTCTACAACTGGTATCCTCCTCACAACACCTACTACGCCCTCATGAAGAAACTCCGTTACTTTGGTCTCTACAGGTAATCTCTGTGCTCACAGGATGGGAGCAGGACTGGAGATGGGAAAGGGCTGGGTGTGAGTTTTGTTGCAATATTTTTCCTCAAGGAAAAGAGGGACAGAGAAAAAAGTTTAGTTCAGAACATGGTGCATATAGAAATATGTGCTTGGTTGTTGTGCTGAGGGCAAGGAGAGTAAAGTAAGTGACTGCTGTCAAAGCAACTTCTGCCATGACTAGAACCTTTCATGGGAAAGACTTTAGTGTAGTTATGGGCAACCAGTTATATAAGAAATAGTTCTTCCTTTGGCTTTGTGGGAAAGGGAAGAGAGCTTTCTCGTAGACAGGAGATGGGTCTGTAGCTCTGAATATGGCAAATGAATGTGCTGCAAAAAGGTGATGTCGCCTTAACACAGAAATTGCACTAAGACAATCTTACCATATATTCCTCAATCATTCAGCAGCTAATAAGTGAAATTTAGAAGAGAAGGAAAGTCTGTGTTAGGCTGGAGGGGCTTTTTATTCTTTAAAATAAATTAAGTTAAATTAAGTTCAAATGTGATTTAAATAGCCTTATTAATTCCAGCTTCATCCACACCAGTTGTCTGCTTTCTAAATGAATTTCCACAGTCTCGAGTAGGAAAAACTGCACTGCTAAAGAACATCAGCAGGAGTCAAATGCAGTTCTTTGACTTCAGTCAGGCAGCACTAAAGAAATCCCTTAAAAGTGAGTCTGCTAACCCTGTAAAGTCAAAACAGATTAATTTCTATTGCTAGTATCACAATACTGGCCATCAAGGATTGCTTCCAGGATGCTCTTGTTTTGGGTGGGCATGCAAACACTTTCTCAAATAGCTGTTTGTTGACACAGAAAGCTTCAACGACATTGTGATGTTCTTTATTATTCTCCTTCCCCTCTTAATCTCAAGTTCCTTGTCCAGCTGCTCTGTGTACAGGGAGCTTGTAGAGGATCAAGTTTGCTGGTCAGAAATATGCAATGAAGAGTCATAGGCTAATAGGGCCTGATAATAACTTGCAAGCTTTTTTTCTTTTTTAGAAAAGTTGTATTTAAAAACAACAGTGCAGCAATCTTAGGCCACTTAGGAGGCAGTTGTGACTTTTGAAAAATACCTTCATACTGAGAAATACAGGGACAGAGATTGAACAGAATTTATTAGAACGTTATTGAGGATTCATTACCTCTGCCAGCCACTTTATCTTCCTTCTTGTTTTATTGTCCTATTAAGATTCTACCAGTAGCTTTCTTCGTAGCTCATTCTTGAAGTCACCTGAGAGCAGTGTCATGTACTGTAATGACTGCTCAGCATGCCCCTGTTTTCTTAGAAGCTAATGACCTGAACTTAGTATCTAGCACAGAAACACAATGTGCTATTGCTAGACTGCTGAGCTAGGTGAGAAGGGGAGAATTCTCATTCTTGTCTCTTGCTGGTTTTTATATTTTACTGTTCATTTAAACACAGTGGATCAATAAATGCAATGGAAATAATATGTAGATGCACACACCATTTGTTGCTGAAAAGGGCAACCTTGTTAGCTCTGAAGGTACCAGAGGAAATCTTTTACGTGATTCTGTCCAAAATCACTGCTGGCAGTAACTCTGAATGCATTACCGCGAGTTTCAGTGTGGACTTCAGTGTTAAAAGAAGTTTGAGGTTTTCTGAACTGTATGATAATGAAAAGAACCTTTCACATCTAGCTATTCCAAGAAAAGGAGTAAACTTCCTCCTTTCTTCCCCCATCTAGGGATGAGCATCAGGACTTTAAGGAAGAGATGAGGCGATTGAAAAAGCTCCGTGGGAAGGAAAAGCCAAAGAAGGGGGAAGGGAAGAGAGCTCTCAAGAAGAAATAACACCACTTGGACAATATAATGAACTACTCTGAAAATGCTGGAGAACAGCTGTAAACCAGATTTTCTGTTCCTAACTGGAGAGGGCTTGGCATGTGAGTGGCATGTGGGGCACGAACACTGAAATACCGGAGTCCACCTTGGGAGTGCACTTGGGTCTTTGTGGTTTTATTGGTTTTTAATTTCTTTAGTTTAAATATACCATATGTTGTAGCACGTTCATTTGTCAAAGCTCTCTCTTACCCAAAGAGTAAAAACAATAGTTAAAAAAAACCCCAAAGTCCTTGTTGTTCTTCTTGCAAACACCTGTAGCTGTTTCAGTTTTTCTGGATCTGGAAAATTGTTTCGTTTTCATTGTCTGTTTTACTTGGATTAAGATCAACGCTGTTTTGCATATGGCCACAAAAAAATAAGATTTCTTGCTTCTACTGCTGCTTGTCATCTTGCCTATTATAATCAGTTCACTTCAGGTAGCTTTAGTGTTTTTTTTGGGTTTGGTTTTGTTTTGTTTTTTTTTTAAAAGTTGCTGTTAGAATCTATTGTTCTGCATTTTGCACTGGACAATACTTTGTGGTCCGTTGTCTGCCCACAGCAGTCTCATTGTACCCTGAATATTTAGATATAGATAGATAGATATAGATATTTAGGTACTCAAGAGGCTGAAATATGAAGGCTCAAACTGTTTTCCTTACTAATAGAGACCCCCTACTAATTAAAATTTGATTGCCTGGAGGACATGTATGAAGTGCTTCATAAGGTGGTGAGCAGTTGTACTGGTATGTGGTTTTATCACTAGGCTCCTCCAGTGTTGTTAATATTAATGGTTGCATACATCTACCATTCTTAACTGTCAGGGAACAGAAAGTACAGAGTGCAGCTGTGCTGCTCTGCCCGGCCACGTGTGCATCTCCCCATTCCAGGGCACACAGGCATCTTTTAATTTCCAGACCATGTAATCTCAGAGGAACATCCTTGAGGTAGTAAAGGAAAGCTATCGAAGCTGTAGAATGACTGGAGCAGAAAGTATTTGCACAGTTAGCTTGGGGTATGCTTGATTTTGTGTACAGAGGCATTCTGAAGTCGGGAACAGTACTTACCTACTGACATTTCTAAACCAAGCTTGTTCACATTTAAGTGTATTTGAAGGGATCTGTCTGATCATTGAAATCAATGGGTCTACATAAATTTGTCACAGCTCAACAACTTTACTTCAGCAAGGTTATTAACTGAAGAGATGCTGGTTGTATTAAAGGTGCTTCTGATGACCTGTGTAGTTCTTACTCAGTATCTGTACTGAGTGTTACCTGGTTTTCTAAGCCCTAAGAGAAGCTGATTTTAGGAGATTTGCAGTGGTGTGGGAGAAAGCCCCTGAGTTCTTACCACAGTCAACAAAATGCTGTAGAGGTTAGTAAAATATGTGTATACTCTATACTGTAGTGTTAAGTTTCTCTTTTGCTCTAATTTAAAATCCTTTTAGTAATGTAAAACTTTTGCTCAACTCTAACGTGGGATTTTAGCATTCTGTGTGTTCTCTATGGGTTGTGACCTGTCTGGTACTGAAGCATACGGAGTCTGTGATGGGCTCTCTGAGAAGTACTTAGTTCCTGGGACATGTGTGTGTGAAGGGAAGTGGTCTGGTTCCCTGGAATCCCTCTTCGGGAGGGAGAGAGCAGAATGGCACCAGGTACTATAGCAGAGGAAATAGACTGAGTAGGAAGGTTGCTGCTGCCTGACACTGTTTCTGGCTGTGGGTGGATGGAGTTGCTCTGTTGCTTTGGTGGAGGGAAAGACCAGTTCTGAAACTCTACAGTAGAATTACTACTGCAGCCATGGACAGCTGGTGACTGTATTACAACAGCTTTGTCAGTGAGAACTTGATGTTTTCTAAAATTAAACCAAAGATCAATAAAAATGTTTTCCCTGCAGTTTAAGAGGAAAAAATCAAGAGCATCTTTTTTGTTCCTGTAAAACACTTAAGGCTTTGACAGTATAAACAGGCAAGAGAAAGTGTGCACGCATCAAAAAGTGAATTGTGGTCCTGCTCCAGTAAAGTAAGTATGCATGGCCTTAAACTGTGTGGGGGGCAACCTGGTTATGAGTGTATGTATAATGATATATAAAATACTTACACAACAGGATTGGCCATGGGTATACTTCTGAATCCACATTTAGCCTACTTAAGGCTAAATGCTTTTAAGTAGGCTAAATGTGCATCTACAGAGCCTGCTGAGGGCAGTGAATGCTACAGGTATGCTGTAGCATAGCATGCCACCTTGTTAAACACAGGTACAGACTCAGCAACTCAGCAGTGTAGTATTAGATTATTAGGGTTCGGGATTGGATCTCTTCTTCCTTGTCTACTCCAAGCCACCTAACTAATGGATTTTGAGAAGTTCCTGTCATGAACAGGAAAGCAAAAGGCTTGTTTGGCTAGTCATCTAGAGTGATCCCCTTTGCAACCTGCCAGAGCAAACCTGCTCTAGAATCAAAGCATTACCCTGGGAAGGTACTTAGCAGCATATCCAGAAAGGGAGAGAAACTGATGGAAGTGCCTGTGAAATAAGCAGATGTGAAACAAATGGACTGAATTGTTGCCTTTCATCTTTTCTCCACAGTGTTTACAAAAACAAAGCAGGTGGAGTGAAAAATGATAAATTTTAAAAAGAGCAGTATAAGTACAAAAAAGATTTCCCTGCCTGATTTTTCATCATCTTCTGTAGTACTCATCTGCTAGAACTAGGTCTTCTCAAAAAGGGCTGTTTCCTCCCTTGAGACTTCACCATAAAACAACCATGATTCAGACATTTTTTGAGTTTATCCTGCTATCGGGGTAATCTGTTGCTTGCTGGGAGCATTAGTGTAACAATTTTGTTCCAGAAAATACAGCTTTTTCCACTCCCATAGCTGGGATAGAAACAGGCACTTTCCTACCTCCCTTCTAACCCATGCTCTGTCACTTAGGAATAGACATTGCGCGAAGACAACCACGTTCTGTGAATCACGGAGTCTAGACAAGTTGGAAGTCAATCCTGAAGCATCATGCCAGGTATTAATGCAGTATGTGCATGTAGTAGGAGGGGAAGGAGAGGTTCAACCGTATTCTGAGGGGTAGGGGTGGGATACACATGCTTTTTGCAGCTATCAATAGTGGCATATCTATTTTATGCACAAAGAATCCAGTTCAATTAGATCTCTATTTTGGGCTTTTCCCCTCACACTGGTTCATTTTACCACTCAAACTCTGGTATGCTTTGTTACAAAATCCACTTTTTTTCCTAAGAGCATGAGCTGACTGTCCTTGGCAGATGTTTAGATAGATGTTTTAATTCTTGATCGCAATGAACTTGGTTAGCTGATCTGCAGGGGACTAACTGGGAGTCAAAACCCTAATTTCTTCCCAGTCCTGAACACCTTCATTGAGTGCCACTGCTCCCTTATTTTACAGTGCTTTAACTACGTCTTTAATTATACTCTGGTATAATATAGTCATAGCTGCTGAGTACTGCCTGGATAATCACAAGTTATTTGGTAAACAGGCTGACCTAGTTGCTGTATGTATCCTATAGGGAGTGCAGCTATTGCTAGAACCTCTTAGTACTGACAGTCCTGCAGAGACAGGCAGAAGTTCACTTGCATATGACCAAACCTTGTAATGGTGGAAGGAAAAGGGAGCGGGGGGAAACAGTGTTGTTTTCTGGCAAAAGTACCAGTGTGTTAAAGTATAAATATGTGTGTTCTGCTCAGGAAAGTATTAACTTGAAAAAAGTTTCTCCTAATGTGGAAAGAATTTATTCTACTTATTGAAACAATGCACTGAGTTTACACAGGTCAGCAAAACGCACCTGAGTTACTCTATGGTTTTAGACAAATGCTTTGGCTTACTTGCCTGCGTTTCTTCAAGAGTAAAATTAGAATTTTAGAATTTTAGAAGAGTAAAATTAAAATTAGAAGTTGCTTCTAGGATGGGAATTTACCCCAGGAGAAACTTGTGTGAGGACAGCTTAGTGTGGCTATGGTAGAACTTGGACCTCTGTGTATTTTGGAAAGTTGCTTTCGTGCAACAGCTGATGACATTTTTAACTTAATGTGGTAAGTCACTATGTTCACTGTTCTGCTTTAGATGTTAGAGACTTCAAATGCTGAAAAAAACTTGATCAGAAAGTAAAAATTTAAAAAAAAAAAAATATTTCTTAAGCTGTAAATATTTTTGAAATTTTAAAACATCTGTGTACGTTTTCCTCTACCACTGTGAGTCTGAAGGCCATTTTAGGATCATTTAAAAAAACAATAATTAACAAAGTCTTATTTTAGAAAAGCTTCATGAATCTGAAGGGCTGCTTTGATGAGGGAAAGATTGTTTTGTGTCTTTTTTCTTTCTCTGAAAGCACAAAGGCGAATATGCAAAGAAAACAAGTGCTTTGGGGATCTCAGATTGATTCCTTTAAACGCAGTTCTCCTCTGTAACTGTTTGATTGTAACTCTTCCTGTACAGTCCCTTGGTAGTAGGTCCTGGAAATAAAATCCTTCAAAGGGACGTTCTCTGTCATCTTGATATTGAGACGTGTGAGAGCAGAAACTCTTCCTCTTTAACCTTTTATAGGGGCAGCATAATTTCTCTAAACTGTCCAAAAAATGGAAAAATCAAATGTTCCAATAGTATTTTTTTTAAAAAAAAGGATTTATTAGGCATATAAGAGGATGCAGAAATTAAAACAATACCCTTATCATAAACCCAAGAGGTAAAACTTAAATAAAGTCTGTGGGCCAGATATTTAGAATGGATCTTTCTGTGCCTGCACAGCTGGGGTATCATGAAGAAAGGCATTTTCATCTTTTCAGTTCTTTCTCCTCCTTGCTTTTCCTTGTCCTTTTTCTCAATGTCTTGAGTGCAAAGAGGAAGGAACAGACATGAAAATATCTGGAAGAATTTGCTTGTGAAAGGCTCAGTTACAGCAGAGCACAGCTATAGTGTGTCCAAATGGTGAGGAGCATGACTGTAGGCAGATATTAGAGGGACATCAGCACCACACTGCCTGAGAAA